ACCATTGGTATTTGACAGTTACAGTATATGAGATATGGTCCATCCAGTGAAGTGATGGTTCCATGAGAGTCAGTCTCAATTTTGCTCACTTTTTACTCAGAGAAAATAATTTTTTCCAAATTATTCTAAAATTGGAAAACTTAGCTGGATTAACTTCATTTCCTTCTTAATCTGCACTAAGAATGAGTCCTGGAACAGGTTTATATTCTGCCTAGTGCATATGGTTTCCAAGACCTGATGCCTCTCTGAGCTGTACTGGGCCTGCACACTGAATTAAAAAAAAAAAAAAAAGCAGACTATTGCTGGTTATGAAAGAGGAGTGCTGACAGAAGTAGATTGTAGATTTATCATAGGTATAAATTGTCCATCATAACATCTGACTGGTGGTGGTAGAGATATTTCAGTGCTTGATGGCATTTGCAATTTAGGAACTATAGGACAAAAGAAGCACCTTATTCTGCAAAGACAGTAAAGATGTCTTGCATGTGTTACTTTCCTGTCTCTTCCTAATGTCCTCAAAGGTACAAGGAAAAAAGGTGGGAGCATTTAGGGAGATGGAGAGTGAAAATGGACCCATGGTGTGGTTGAACCTTGCCTGTTGCAGATCTTCATCTTACTGAGAAAATAATGTTAACACAAATGGTAGATTCCTTTCAATAGGACTGAATTTTTGATTTGTGAAGGAAGGTGTTATGTTCAAGACCAAGAATGGTTTGCTTAGCTTAATGCTTGTTGCTAGTCATGATCAAAGCACGAGGCAGTTGTGTTATAATCCTGCAGCTGTCATATAAAGAAACTGATTCTCATGTAACTCAGAAGAATGATAAACACAATACTGTCTTTTATTCCTAAAGTTCCTTTCTCTGCAAAGAGCTTTCAAATGGCACAGCAGGAATGACTTTTCTTGCCAGTGAAACGCACCCACCTGTGGGATGAAACATGGCAATTTTAGCAACGCGCAGCAGTAGAATTCAAATTCTTTAGTTTCAGGGCAAAGAGAAACCTACCATACAGCTGAAATTGCAGGAAAGAGGGAGACAAAGTAATTTTTCCAAGCAGAATATGGATAAGAGATCAGGCTACTGTACTCTTCTAAGGTGATTTTCTTCAAATACTTAGTGGTAAAACTGATAAACAAACTGTACATATAGCTAGGTAACTTGGAAGAAAAGTATAATGCTGGACTCCTTCCCAGGGAGGGAGACCCAACAAGATCTGAGATTCTGCAAGTCCTCAGATACTGAGCTCTTCCAGTGAAAATTAGAGATGCAGAAATACAGATCAAATGGACATCGTTGAAGCATTCTGCTTTGCCATCTCATATTCCTAAGGAGCCGCCTTTTGTTGATAGGCTTAGTCTGGACAGGAGGAGACAGAGCAAGTCATGCTTCTGCTAGCAGGGATGCTTTTCTGCACTGGGGACTTCTCCACTTTTATTCTATATCTACTGTCCACTCACTCCCCTTTCCACTGTGCATGTGGCATGAAGAAGACAATGCACCAAGCCCAGCTACAAACAGACAACAAAAACAAGGCCTTTGAACAAAAATGCACTCAATGGAAATAGCAAGTGTTGTCAGGGTGTTGGAAATTTAAGGAGAAAATTGAAGTCAGCATGCATATTTTATTAATTAAAAGTATAGTGTGATTTATCAGATGTATCTCAGATTATTATGTGAAGACTAGTTCTGAAACTTTGCTTTTAAATACTTTGACTGCTGTAAGTATTGCTAAAGGAATGAGATTAAAAATAGACCTGAACCCTGACAGCATTGGTATTTTAGAACAAATTCTACTGCTGTATATATAAATTGTTTGTTGTCTTCTCTTTCCTTGTTCGTTAGCACTAAAGGGCATGTGCGTGGTAACACAATCTTCATGTTTTATAAGCTTTCCTGTGCCGCTGTCGCTTTGCTCCCTAATCCAAAATCCTAATACCCTGTGACATCCCTGTTAGTTGCTCTGAACAAAATTCTGTTGCCACAGATGGAGGATTATGACATCAGGCAAGGACTGTAAGCAGCAGGAGTAGATGAACTCTCAGAGACAAAGATCCTTTTACCATGCAAATGGACCATAGTACTAAGGAGTGAGGCAAAGCGTAATACCCAGCATCTATGCTGTGCTGTCACAACTGACTCTAAAGACGGCGGATCAGGCTTCGATCTTCCTTGTGGTGTTGTCAGGCTTTCAAAATTCCTTATCATTGTGTGTTTTTTCTTTTTCTTTTTTTCTCTGGCTGCTTTGAAAGTACTATTTCCGTCTTCACAGTTGGTTTCTGTAAAATACAATTCAGAAACCACAATACTCGTCATGAATTGAAGTCCTTTGGCTCTCTGGACTCTCTCATTACGAGCATCTCAAGCCACAGGTACTAGGCCTTATGCAGTCTTATTTCTGGAGTAGAGTACTGGTCCCTTGTCTTGTGGCACCTGGACAAAGGATATCCCCATTAGATGATACCTGTTGTCAAGTCCAGTTACTGATTAAAGGATTCTCAGAAGAGTGTAGGAAGAGAAGGAGAAACATTGTCATTGAAAATGCTGTTCTGCTTTGCTTCTATGTAATGGTGTTTACAGTTGATGCTGTAGCAAGTTTGCATAGAGTCAAAATTGCCTTCTGTTTTTATTTTTTAATATGTATAACTTGCTTGTTTATACCTCTAGGAGTATTGGCATTCATATTTAGGGTTTGAGGTTAGATAATGGAATAGTAAGGTACAGGAGAGGTATCAGTTCTTTATTCCTTATCCTCAGATAACTCAGATATTTTAGGCAAAATGACAACTAATATTCTATTTCAGATTGTTAAATGTCATCCCTTCTCTTGCTGGGCCAGAGTAAGTCTGAAGCAAGTGTCAGACCCTAACCTGATGTGTGTGTATCTATATACTTATATGCATGTCTTTTATAAGTGTAAAGGCAGGAGGGATGCGTGTACGTACATGTGCCTGCCAGCCCACACTGTAAAGTCTGTCAGCACTGTTGTAATCCTAGAATTGATCTGTTAACTTCACACTGTGCAAGTGAGACCACTGGGATTCATACAGCTGCAAATGAGAGTCAGGTGGGTGGGAAGAAGAGGCGGAGGGGAGGAGAAAAGTGTTGAAAAATGCTGCTCAACTTTCTTTCAGTATGGTAACACACAGTTTTCTTGCTGCTGCTGCCCCTTTTCAATAGGTGAATTTTCTTTCAGGGATTTTGTTGTCTGCTTTTGTTAGCTGCACTTATGGTTCTACCTAGAGGTTTTGGGTGTTTGGTTTTGGTTCTTTTAACAGTATAACAGATCATGGAAGAAACTCAGGTTTTTGTTAATGTTCAGTTAAACTCTCTGCCTATTGATAGTCACATGTTCCTTCTCATTGCAGGAGAGATAAAGAAACACAGATAGTTAAAAAGCTATTGAAATTCACCCATTCTGTTCTTGCAGTGGGGAGAGATGATCTGGTTGGAAGAGCAGAAACTCTGCACCAAAGCTATAAGGGTCTGTTCCTGGCTTGGTCTTTGAATTGTTGGGAGGATCATGGCGTGACATGGGGCTTCCAGTTATATATAGATGAGTTCTACAAAGGCTCATAAATGTGGAAGTGCCCAGATGCACAGTCTGAATATCAAAGATGCTGTATAACTATGGGATTCAGTGAAATCACTGTGGGTGGTGTCAGATGGAGGTTGAGGGGTTTCATTTTGGGTTAAAACATTTGAAAATGCTGTCTCCACTTTGGTGTGTCCTATCTCATCTATAAAGTACAGATGGTGGTGCTGATGTGATGAAGAGTAGGATGAGCCTCATGGAATTGCTCTTGCTAACAGACTGTGACGGAAGATGCTGGGATAGGTAGAACAGTTGTTGCTTTATCCTTATGCTATTGTCCTAGACTGGAAGTGGTTAACAAAGATCTCAGGCAGCCTAGCCGGTTGATCCTCTATTATCTACTCTTTCTTTTGTTTCTTCTCTTCCAACAAGTGCAAGATATAAAATAGTAGGTATGTCAACTATAGTTGTATGTTTTATTTGAAGTACTGCACAATAGGAGCAGCATACCTTTGTCTAGAATGCTGAAAATAAAATACTTTCCCAGGAAGTAACTTCTAAACTCATGTTCTTATAATCTATGGCTTGCAGCTTCACATCTGCTCTCAGGTGTTTCACAATCCAGCTACCTCTTTGTGGATGACATACTAGCTGTCATTCAGAGTCCCTCTGATCTGAAGATCACTTTTTTTATCTGTTGCTTGGGTTGTGTCTTTGCAAGATATATCTGAGTAGGATAGCAACCGTTAGCTCCAAATCACAGAACAATGAAAGGCTGTTCTATTAGTAGTGGGTGCTTCCTTCTCTGCTTTCCCCAAAGGCTTTGGAAACCAGTCCAGAATAGAGAAGTGTCATGGGCTAATGTCATGCCCTTCTGAGGACTTTGACATGTTTCCAGAGGAACCTATGTAATGGGACTGGTCATAGTCTTTGTTTTGTTTTTTTTTTCTTAAACTAGAAAGCAAAGTTGTAGCCAACTGGGGCTTCAAAACTTCAGTTTGAATCCACATATCGGGGTTCTTTGGGTAGGATGAAGCATTGTTCATGGGCCCGTTTCTTAGCCTTCATTTCTACAAGGGGATGAAACTTCCAGGGAAGCACGACAACCTGGCAGTGTTTCTTATCCTTGCATTACACCATATTTTACAGTAAATTTCTTTGAGCAAGCACCGAACATATGAGTTGGGCCTGCCTAAGAGGGAATATGTTGCTGTTCACTCTTCCTCCTTGCTCTGTGTTAGTTTGCTGTTTTGTCGTGGAGTGTACAGTTGTCTTTGTGCTCCTTTTACCCGAGTTTCTTGCATGTCCAAGAATGGAAAAGTCTTTGGTTAGTGCTTTTTTCTCTTCTGCATGAGGATCCTGATAGTAATGGTAATGATGAATTAGAGCTTTTGTCGGCCTGACTAAAATGATTCTCTCAGCTTTATCAGCTTTGTTTTACCCTTTTCTTGTCATCTGTTCTCCAGGACCGAGCACTACCTGCCAGGAAGATTCCTGTGCGAATCAGGGCATCTGTAATCAGCAATGGGAAGGCTTCACCTGTGATTGCTCCATGACTTCATATTCTGGAAGCCAGTGTAATGACCGTAAGTAGGCTTTTCCATTGGATTGGTGAGCTGTGAGTTCTGACAGATTGGAGCATAGAGAACACATGATTAGGTTTACTTACAATTGAAATATAACTTTCCCCGTGTCAAAGCCAAACTTTGTTTCCTGGAAAGTTTATTTGAAGCATACAGCAGGTTGGTTTTTTTTTTTTTTTGTTAAAATGAAAATATACAATTTGGTATGTGTTGGTTTTTTTCTTCTTTTTAAAAGCTAACTCAACAAGACCAATAATGGAAATTAATGTAATTGAAATTCCTGGTTAAAAAAAACAAGAAATGGCTTGTGTATGTTGTGTGTAATACTTCCATAGGTACAAAATGGCTAGGTTTTGTGTACTGAATTATTCTTTGACTTGTTAAAATGAAAATATACAATTTGGTATGTGTTGGTTTTTTTCTTCTTTTTAAAAGCTAACTCAACCAGACCAATGATGGTAATTGATGTTAATGGAATTCCTGGTTTAGAGAAACCAGGAATGGCTTGTGTATGTTGTGTGTAATACTTCCATAGGTACAAAATGGCTAGGTTTTGTGTACTGAATTATTCTTTGAGGTTTTCATTCAAACCTTGGTGACAAAGACATGGAATCCATTTAAAACTGCTGAGCAGTGTTCTAGATTGTCTTCTACCAAATTACTAGTTGTATGCGAAGATGCAAAATTTGGTACTGTTTGCTAGAATATTCAGTTAAAACCAGGTGGTCAACTAAACCTACAGCAACAGTGTTGTGCTTCTTGGCATATTGATTTGCTTCATCTCAAAACATTGGATGTTCTTCTTGGCCAATTAGTATTAAGTTCTCTGATTAAAATAATTGAACAAAACCCTGAAGTCTTCCTTTAGGGGGCAGATAATCAGCTTTCAGATGTTCTCTCTACTCATCCTGATACGGCCTTTGTTCCTGCCTGGAGGGAGCAGATAAGTTCAGCTCTACTCTCTCCCCACTTCTATTATTTAAGGCAACAGTTAATCCCCTTCTTCCCTCCCCACTCCAAGGCAGGGCACAAAGGAGCACATGATGAGTGCTGTAGTAAGCATAACAGTAGGCTTCAATAATTTGGTTCATTGTGTGTGTAAATTTTAAGACTGGAAGAGACTCTTAGAGTCCACTCTGACCACCTGCATCTTACAAACTGCTGCTTTTCATTAAGGGTATCTGTGGTAGACTTTTAGTGGTACCAGTGAGGTCCATGCAATATTGGTGCCACAGCACTGTAGTATCTGCAACCCTTCCCCTAGAAGTTTGAGATGTGACTGAATTGATGGCACATATGACAAGCTGTTTAACACGTGGTGACAGTCTGTTTCTGCTGAAGGCTAAAAAGCCTGTTTTTCTGAATCATTCGTAAATTGTGGTGTTATCTGCATTGGTCTCCCCTTTCTCCCAGCATAGTTCTCCCGGACAGATATTGGAAAGGCCTATCAGCATTCGTACTTTGACAAGGGCTGTATAAGAAGGGTACTGCAGACACAGATTTGTAGGCTGTAATGCCACATCTGGTTTTGGGTTGTTTTGGAATCCAGAATGACTCCTTTGGGTCCAGAAGAAACATTTCATATTGGAGCCACAAGATTTGGCTCCGATTTTCTGGATTTTTGTTTTGGTCTGCTTTTGCCAATTGGACACCCAGTTTCCCATTCTCGCACTACTTGTTCAGTCATTCAGTTTAGACTTGCTAAGCATAGCACGTTATAAACCTGTTCTGTAAAAGAAATGCTACTTTGAATCCTGTTGGGCTGCATTTAAGTACATGTTCAGGAAATCTCTGAAGAGATTATTGATACTGTCGGTTTTGTTTCTAATGTGCTGGGCTTCACAGCTCCAGAATGTCGCAGTGCCCTTGTTATGCCGTTGCTAATGACTTAGAACAGGCTCTGAAGTATCAGGAAGCCAGTTTCCTGTGTCTGTAACTGGGGATTCCTTGCTGCTTTTTAGAGCTGGCAGCTGGAAACTATGCAGAGCAGAGACGGGGGGTTGATATGAGTGGGGGTGATGTGGACAATGTAGTAGCCAGCCTCCCAGTGTCAGGCCTGGCTGGTGATTTAGAAATGCTCACAGGAGGATGTGGGTTTCAAAACGGTCCAGAAAGGTAAGTCATGTGGACTCCTCCCAGAACACAATGAGACTTCAGCCAGGATCTTCAAAAAGTGCGTATAACATTTTTTTGTGGTGTTTTCAGTCTTTGCCATGTATCAGGACTATGAAGACATAGTTCTACTAGTCTGATGAAGTTACTAAGTGTTGTGGGTTATGGAGAGGGAGAAGGCTTCCTTTCTGTTCCTGTCTGTTAGATATGGTTGCTATTATACCCGAATCTAATGGAAGTACAGGCACTTGTATGTTAATTGAATTAAATATTCTTTAGACTGGATTTTAGTGCAAGTAATGGCAGGGGGAGATAACTTCTGTGTAACCTGAAGGCTTGCTATTATTTAGAAATGCATCAGGCTCTTTGGTAGAACTTTTTTTTGCCACAGGAGTCTAATGCTATTAATTTAGTAGATGGCTATTTTAATTTTATGAGCAAATTGTGGTCTCCCACTGATGTAAATATGGAATATTGAAGTCAATAGAACAGGTCTAGATTTACACA